GACAAAATAAGAAAGATATTACATAAATAGTCGTATAATATAACCGTAGGTTAGACTTACAACGTTAAAAAATATAAATTATGACCGTAATAATTTATTTTAACATTTATTTATGTTTATGTGTCAATTACTTAAATGTAAATAATACTTTCGCTTACGTCTTCACCCAACTTAATGTAGTACATTCACGCGAATTCAATGCAATACGATCTTCCTGAAATTAAAGCTACACGTTGTACTAAATAACGTTCGTTCACTTTCGCAGTTACAGTGACATTTCGTTTCAGTGTTGAGACGTGAGCAATTAGGAGCTTCACTTTTATATTCGTCATGTATACAAAGTTTATGAAAATATCGTGATTTTCTTTGTAGGTCTCAAGCTAACATCGATATTTTAATTAGAAATGATATTGCAATGATAAAGCGTGAAACTGTGATTATGAAAAATTGCCTTACGACTTTTAAACTTTTGACTAAGAATAAATGAAGTCGTGGGATGTATTTAATTTCCATAAACGTTTGTTAGTCCATTTTACAAATCGTTGGATATCAATGAGTTACGTTAGGCTGAGTATATCCGTGTTCGTTTCTTCCGAGTGCGCTTCCGGTATTCACATGTGCAGACAACAGTTTCCATCAATAGCGAAAATTGAATGCGAGGATACCGTAGCTGAATGTTGGAAGGGGTTAAATAATGAATGATATTATCGCGACTGTACGATCTTAAATATAGTTGCAATTCCCGTGCGCATACTACTGTAAGCATTATTTGTGCTTTTCTTTGACATCTGATAGATACTTACCAAAAAAGTAACATGACGGTATTACATGGCTACATCAATTAATTAATATTAATAAATCAAACGTAACGGGTTGTCTAAAATCATTACGCTATCTTTGAAATCAAGTGATTAAAAAATTATGTGGTATTACAAACAATTACCGTCAATATGCGTCGTGTAACTGTACATGTGAATAAGACTGCAGAAAACAGAATTGTATAATTAAAAGAAATGCAACTTATTGGCGTATGATTTTTCAAATTATATATCTGATTTAAACAATTTTTATGTAATCTTGTAACGTGAATTTTTTAGAATGGTTGTGTTTAATCTTACATGAAAGATATGTGAAACGAATGTTTTTAGCGATTGAACGTGAAGACGAAGCGTACATAAATTTATTTAGTAGCACTAAATATTTGAATATTGGAATAGTATATTATATAATACTAGAAATGGAATAAGACGATTCTTAATAAAGTGTATGGTAAATATGTATGTACTGATCAAGTAGGTTTTATATTTAATAATTAACAGTTTGGACTATGTTTAGAAATGTACTATTTTTTGTACTTCGACTTTCTTTCGTAATGTATGTATTACGACAATGAACTTTGAAGATAATGTCAAATAATGTTTATATTTGTTATAATTTGGTAACTACATACCTAGTGGACGGTATTATACGTATGTAACGAGTAAAGTAATACAATTTTCCGGTTCAACATTATATTTGACGTGTAATAGATAACTGCATTAATTTTTTTAATTTGATTGAAATTTTAACATGTACACGTATTAATTCTTTAATAAAAATAATAATTTAAGCGTTACCTTTATAGCTTGTCGCATTAATCTTTCGACATAATGTAATGTTTTGCTTTAGTAATATTTACCATAATAATTTTACACATATTATAATTGCAACTCGTTATATAATAACGCGTATCATATTAACCCATTAAGTCCAGGAGATTGCACATTTTTTAGTTGATTTTCGACCTTCATTCTCAACAGGAAATAAGATTAATATTGACTTGAAAGTGACCAACCCTACCATTTTCGAGTATGCTCTTTCGATTGGCGTGGTCAAAATTGCATTTAAATTGCTTCAAAAACCAATATGGCGCATTTTAAATAAAAAATGAACAAAATTTCGTGTGTTTCGTTTTTTGTAAATTTTTTTTCGCATCAATAATGTTGCGGGATCGATGCCTATTCGCAACCAAAAGTGCATAAAATCTATGAACTTTAACTAGAAATTTTTTTGTTTTGCCCCTAATCAACCTAACCTCTTCAAAACGTCAATATGTCGGAAAAATGAACCTTATTTGATCAATTATGAACATTATAGATGAAATTCGTATCTCTAGTGGTATAATTGTCCCTAAAATATAGGTACAGGGGTTTTCGGGGTCGCTGATCAGGAATTTGAGGTTAGATTTTTAAAATTCAAGATGGCGGATCCAATATGGTATACCGAAATTCAATAAAAATGCTCCAAAATCGCAAGAAAATGTGTATACGGAGGTTTTTGGGGTCATTCAGCACGAATTTGAGGCTAGATTTTTAAAATTGAAGATGGCGGATTCGATATGGCCGACCAAACTTCATGAAAGAACTCAAAATCATGCGATAATGTTTATACGGGGGTTTTCCGAAAGAAAATTGATTATTTCCGTCCGTTAGCCGTTTCATATGAACGTTTCCCAACTCAAACCACGTGGAAGTGGACGGCAAGAGTCTTTTTTTTTTAACATTTTTTAATTTTTTTTATTGTTTTTTTGTTACATTTTTTTTATTTTTTGCTCATAAATTTGTACATAATTGAACAAGCTTCTTCTGTTGATTTTTGAATCTAAAATATGGAAATGGATATGAAGAGTTTTTTTATTTTCTTTATTCTGTTATATTTTTTATTTTTTTTATACTTTTGAAATATTGTTATGTTTTTTATATTTCACTCATAGATTTGTATATTACTGAACAAGCTTGTAATAAACATTGTTTGATCAATTATGAACATTATTGATGAAATTCATATCTCTAGTGGTGTAATTGTCTCGAAAATGTAGGTGCTTTGGCCGTCGTTGATCACGCATTTGATCGCAACAACATTTCAAAAGTATAAAAAAAAAAATAAAAAATATAATAGAATAAAGAAAATAAAAAGATTCTTCATATCCATCTCCATATTTTAGATTCAAAGATCAACAGAAGAAGCTTGTTCAATTATGTACAAATTTACGAGCAAAAAATAAAAAAAATGTAGCAAAAAAAAACAATAAAAAAAATTTTAAAATGTTAAAAAAAAAAGACTCTTGCCGTCCACCTCCACGTGGTTTAGAAAGAGAGGACCGTGTATCCTAAAGATCTCAGAGCCAGGTTCGGAAGTTGGCCAAATCAAGAACTAACTAGCTGCATTTCGAGTAAGAATCGGTACAATCGGGACGCGTGTGTGAGGTTATATATTTTATTTAAACTATTATAAAATATTCAATTAAGGTCCTTACGCTATCATAAGCCAAGACAAAAATAAAAATAAAATTGAAAAAAAGGTCCGTTATTGTTGTGCAGAAAAATGTAAAAATACAAACATGAAATTCAGTCCTGCAGGAGCAAGTTCAACAAAAGAAAAAGATGTGTCATTTTATAAGTAAGTTTTAGATTTTGTGATATGTGAACCTTAAATCTGGAACACTATTTACTTTTTTCCATTCAAGTAATAATAAGTTAAACAATTGTGCTTCCATAGGATTCTAATCTTACATTCATATCTACTTTATATTTATTATTATTATAGAGAATATTCTTTATTATTATGTATTTCTGATATATAACTTGCAAATGCAGGACTGTATTTCATGTTTGTATTTTTACACGTTTCCGCAGAACAATAACGGACTATTTTTTTAATTTTATTTTTATTTTTGTCTCGGATAGCGTAAGGACCTTAATTGAATATTTTATAATAGTTTAAATAAAATATATAACCTCACACGCGTCCTGATTGTACCGATTCTTACTCGAAATGCAGCTAGTTAGTTCTTGATTTGGCCAACTTCCCGACCTGATGGCTCTGAGATCTTGGATTCCATAGAGACCCTCTAACAGAGACTGGCCATCAGGCGAGTCCGCCATTTCCTAGCGAAATCCTACAAGTGAGAGAGAAATATAGGTCATTTCACTCTTTCACTCACACGAATATGTGCGTTCGTATGTGTTCGTTTATTCAAGTTGATCTGAGTTGATTCAAGGTTGTGTTCGTGGTTTTTGCTCAGTACAAAATAATAACAATAAAAATGGGTGGTTGTACTGCACAATTCTGGAAAAATTATTTAATATCTGTCTTTAGATTACGGCTAAACATGTTTTAAATTTTCAATTGTTTCCTAAAATTATTAGAAAGTTTGTCGTATTCAAATTAAGAACATTAAGAAAAATACTAATATTAATAGAAGATATGATAGTAAATCATTGGCAGTACATACCTTTTTTAAATAAATTTTACAAATGTTAAGTGTTTTTACTTTTGTCACTGATTTCCTAACCATACTTTAATTTTATTTGAAAAAGATTTAATAGAATTAAGAAAGAGAATATTAAATATAGAAATTATTTAACGTATAAACAAAAAGAACGAAGACAATATAAGAGTCAATGTTTAAAATTTAATAACAAAGTCAAAAATTAAATCATAAATGTTAAAAAACAGCTATTATAACAAAGTTATTTAAAGATAAAGATGTATATAACTGACGATAAAACTTGACATGTTTTTTTTTATTTGACGTATATTATTTATATTGATGTAAAAAGCACGGTTTCAATATTTCTATAATATTTATCATTACATACTATTCACATTCCAAGTAAATGCAGTAATTGAAATTTGAATACGAGCGGGAATCGCTAGGAAATGGCGGACCAATCAAAAGTGGCACCCTGATGGCCAGTCTCTGTTAGAGGGTCTCTAGGATTCCAGTAATGGCTGCCGTTATCAGTCCAGAGGTATATAGTCAAAGCTTAAAACTAATTGTAGTTTGCGTAGACACGAGAGAACTCATAAAAACGAAAAGCCTTATCAATGCGATATTTGTGGTCACATGTAAGTGGGTATTTAAGTGAACAACAAGAGTTAGGAAATGCTTTGGCGATTCAATATCATTGATTAAATAATTGGTAAATGTAATAAAAATTGTAACGGTCGTTTTGCAGGACAAAAGATAACTTAAGAACACACGTGGTGGAAATGCACTATAATGAGGAAACGTTTCAAGTTTAAGAAGGCTTTACATTCTGAAGGTGTATTATACAAATGCGGAACGTGTCAAAAAGAGTTTAAGGACAAGACGAAACTCCAAATTCATAAGAGAACTCATACAGGCGAAAAACCTTATCAATGCGAGTTTTGTAATGGTAAATTTGGGTGAGTATTTAAGTGAATTACAATAACTATAGGGAAATGCTTTAATAATTCATTATCAATGATTAAATTAACTGGTAAAAATAATAAATATTTCATCGGTTGTTTCACAGATATAAAGGAGTGCTAAGACAACATGTGGTGGCAAAGCATAACAGTGATGAACGTTTCAAGTCTAACAAGGACCTATATACTGGAGGTGTATCATACAAATGCAAAACGTGTAATAAAGAGTTTATTAACAAAACGAGTTTTCACAGGCATGAAAGAATTCATACAGGCGAAAAACCTTATCAATGCGAATTTTGTGAAAATAAATTCAAGTGAGTATTTTAGTGAACTACAATAGTTATAGGGAAATGCTTTGGTACTTCATTATCAATGATTAAATTAACTGGTACGAATAATAAATATTTCAACGGTCGTTTCGCAGATATAAAGAAGTGCTAAGACAACATGTGGTGGCAAAGCATAACAGTGATGAACGTTTCAAGTCTAATAAGGACCTATACATTGGAGGTATATCATACAAATGCGGAACGTGTAATAAGGAGTTTAGGTACAAATCGCATTTTCGTAGACATGAAAGAACCCATACAGGCGAAAAACCTTATCAATGCGAGTTTTGTAACGGTGAATTTGAGTGAGTATTTAAGTGAACTACAATAGTTATAGAGAAATACTTTAGTAATTCATTATCAATGATGAAATTAAACGGCAAAAATAATAAATATTTCAACGGTCGTTTCGCAGATGTGAAGATGTACTAGGACATTATATGGTGGCAAAGCATAACGGTGATGAACGTTTCAAGTCTAATAAAGATCTATATTCTGGAGGTGTATCATACAAATGCAAAACGTGTAATAAAGACTTTAAGAACAAATCGGATTTTCATACGCATGAAAGAATTCATACAGGCGAAAAACCTTATCAATGCGAGTTTTGTAAATATAAATGTGTGTGAGTATTTAATTGAACAACAAGAGTTAGGAAAATGCTTTGGTCATTCAACATCAATGATTAAATTAACAGGTAAAAATAATAAATGTTACAATAATCTATTTGCAGGCAAAAGGTTCATCTACGTAGTCACATGATATCAAAGCATAAAGATGATGAACGTTTCAAGTCTAATAAGGATCTATATGCTGGAGGTGTATTACACAAATGCGGAACGTGTAATAAAGAGTTTAAGGGCAAATCGAATTTGCATAAACATGAAAAAACTCATACAGGCGAAAAACCTTTTCAATGCGAATTCTGTATATATAAATGTGTGTGAGTATTTAAGTGAACAACAAGAGTTAGGAAAATGCTTTGAGTAATCAACATTAATGATTAAATTAATTGGTAAAAAATAATTATTATTACAGTGATCTATTTGCAGGGAAAAGGTACAGCTAAGTAGTCACGTGATATTAAAGCATAGCAATGATGAACGTTTCAAGTCTAATAAGGACCTATATGCTGGAGGTGTATTACACAAATGCCAAATCTGTAATAAAGAATTTAAGTACAAAAAGCATTTACAAGACCATGAAAGAACTCATACAAACGAAAAACCTTATCAATGCGAGTTTTGTAATGGTAAATTTGGGTGAGTATTTAAGTGAACTACAATAGTTATAGGGAAATGCTTTGGTACTTCATTATCAATGATTAAATTAACTGGTAAGAATAATAAATAATTCAACGGTCGATTCGCAGATATAAAGAAGTGCTAAGACAACATGTGGTGGCAAAGCATAACAGTGATGAACGTTTCAAGTCTAATAAGGACCTATATACTGGAGGTGTATCATACAAATGCAAAACGTGTAATAAAGAGTTTATTAACAAAACGAGTTTTCAGAGGCATGAAAGAATTCATACAGGCGAAAAACCTTATCAATGCGAATTTTGTGAAAATAAATTTAGGTGAGTATTTCAGTGAACTGCAATAGTTATAGGGAAATGCTTTGGTACTTCATTATCAATGATTAAATTAACTGGTAAGTATAATAAATATTTCAACGGTCGTTTCGCAGATGTAAAGAAGTGTTAAGACAACATGTGGTGGCAAAGCATAACAATGATGAACGTTTCAAGTCTAATAAGGACCTATATACTGGAGGTGTATCATACAAATGCAAAACGTGTAATAAGGAGTTTAAGTACAAAAGGAATTTACATAGTCATGAAAGAACTCATACCGGCGAAAAACCTTATCAATGCGAGTTTTGTGTTGTTAAATTTGGGTGAGTATTTAAGTGAACTACATAGGGAAATGCTTTGATAATTCATTATCAATGATTAAATTAATTGGTAAAAATAATAATTATTTCAACGGTCGTTTCGCAGATATAAAGAAGCGCTAAGACAACATGTGGTGGCAAAGCATAACAATGATGAACGTTTCAAGTCTAATAAGGACCTATATACTGGAGGTGTATCATACAAATGCAAAACGTGTAATAAAGAATTTAAGAACAAATCAAATTTTCATATGCATGAAAGAATTCATACAGGCGAAAGACCTTATCAATGCGAGTTTTGTAAATATAAATGTGGGTGAGTATTTAATTGAACAACAAGAGTTAGGAAAATGCTTTAGGTAATCAACATTAATGATTAAATTAATTGGTAAAAAATAATAATTATTACAGTGATCTATTTGCAGGCAAAAGGTACAGCTAAGTAGTCACGTGATATCAAAGCATAGCAATGATGAACGTTTCAAGTCTAATAAGGACCTATATGCTGGAGGTGTATCACACAAATGCCAAATCTGTAATAAAGAGTTTAGGTACAAAAAGAATTTACATAACCATGAAACAACTCATAAAAACGAAAAACCTTATGAATGTGATATTTGTGGTCACATGTCTAGGTGGGTATTTAAATGAACTTGTAAGAGTTAGGAGGAAATACTTTGGTGATTCAATATCATTGATTAAATTAACTGGTAAATATAATAAAAATTGTAACTGTCGTTATGCAGGACAAAAGATAACTTAAGACAGCACTTGGTGAAAATGCATTACAATGATGAACGTTCCAAGTCTAAGAAGGATTTACATACTGAAGGTGTATCATACAATTGTGGAACGTGTAATAAAGAGTTTAAGAACAAATCGTGTTTTCTTAGACATGAAAGAACTCATACAGGCGAAAATCCTTATCAATGCGAACTTTGTGAAGAAAAATTTAGGTGAGTATTTAAGTGAACTACAAGAGTTATAGGGAAATGCTTTTGTAATTCATTATAAATGATTAAATTAACTGGTGAAGTAATAAATATTTCAACGATTGTTTCGCAGCCGGAAAGTTGGCCTAATACATCACGTGAAGACAAAGCATAATAATGATAAACGTTTAAAAAGGAAAATTAAAGTCTAATAAGGGACTATACACTGGAGGTGAATCATACAAATGCGGAACGTGTAATAAAGAGTTTAAGAACAAAGCGCATTTGCATATTCATGAGAGAACTCATATAGGCGAAAAACCTTATTATTGTGAGTTTTGTGGAGATATATTTAGGTGGGTACATTCTTGAATATCAAGATTACATGCAATTATTTGGTAATTCGTCCAGTGTACTTAAATTATTTTGTAACAAATGATATATTGCAACGATAACTTTATAGACATATTCGATCTCTAAAACAGCTCAAATTTGTGTTTGACTAAAATAATTAACGTTATTACGAATTTAATGTATATGAAAGGGATTCTCATACTAAATGGTACTTCGTTATCATGTTGACTCGAGGCACGAATATAAAAGACAATATCTTTATAATTAATGTATGTCCTTTAATATTATATATTTACAGACTATACAAATAGAGGGCTAAGAACCAGATGTGTAACAAAGAATCTTTAATTCAAAATAATAAAAAATTTACAAAAAACGGTTTGACGTCGCTCGGATCTTGAACAATGTTACAGTAAATTATAATTATGAAGACATTCGAAACCTATAACATTTTTCGATAACGCAGTCCACATATCCTTTACTTTTTCGAGTACATAAATTAAAACATTCAGAGTGGTAAAATGTTAAAAGTTCATGAATAAGAAACACAGACATAGGTTTACTAGATAAAGTGTTGAAAATTCATAAATAATAAAGAATAACGCAGATAGTTGAAATCCTCATCATAGTTATGAAATTTTGTTACATTAAAAAATGTGAGCAAGTTTGCAATCGTAGCATTACCAAGCAAGTGATTTCGACGATGTCAGATGACGTATTAGATATATAATAGATTACATATAATAAAGTATATATAATAGATTACGTTATGTGATATCGTTCATATCATTTCACATGTCTTTGTTGTTTTATACGTATACAGCTTCCTGTTATAATATTTCCTTTAATATAATTGTTTTTCAATTCTTTCTCACTTAAACGGCTGTGTTTACGCCTCTACGCATTAATTAAAAATATGCTAATTTTCTGTTTTCATTAGAGTCTTCGTTATCAGATCCAAAGTCCACGTCAGGCCACAAGTCCGTAAATATTTCGATTAAAATTACACTTTCTCGTTTGTGAAAGCAAACTTTAAAGAATATCACTTTAAAGGACTTTAAAGGAAATCAGAATTTTGAGACTTCAACCGAAATCGTTTATTCATAAAAAAAATTATAAAATCAATTATAATGTTCTTATCCTTCTTCACTTCTATTGTGTGTAGTAATAGCACATTTAAAAAGTGTATAAAAAAGGTTCTGTTGAATAAAATCATAATATATAAAATGCCAATTAGAGCCAAACACTGGTTTAGTCAAACTGTATCAATTTAAGGTCAAATTGTATTAAAAAGGATCGTGTCCACGAATGAAACGTCTATGTTTTAATTTAATAAAGAATTTTACTACACACATATATACGTCCAGCGTCTCTCATTGGCATTTTATATATTATGATGTTATAATAACATTATGATGTAAAATTGTAATACATGGTGTTTAACATTTAGGGTACCTAAAACTGAAATGTCGAAACTTCTGGTAGTGTGTAGAATATCGTTAAACTATGAAAGAAGGTCTCCTATAAATATATTTGTCTTTGTTGCGTTTTGAAGAAATCGTAAAAATGTAAAAACGTTGTCATTTTACTATATGTAACATTCTTTTTTTGCGACATTCTCCAAAGCTAAGCAAAACCAACATATATTCCTATAAGTATTTTGTCGTAGTTCATCGAATTTTTAGCGTTATCAATGTCTTCATGTTTAAGTTTCATAGACTTCGTAGTCAAAATTATTAATTTATTTAGATCGCATATTGCAACGATAATGTCATAGAAACGAACCGCGATTGTGAACGGTATAGAAAATCGAATGCAATTACAATTACTTTTAATAAATGTAATGCGCAACAACGTTGAAAGAAGTTGAGGATACAGATATAATATTTATGCGAGAGATATAATCTCATAGGAAGGAGATTTCCAGTGGATATAGTTTTCGTACGAGGTACTTCAATTATTATAGTCGTGTAAGTAGCATCCTTAGTAGCGCATCCCAGCTAGCAAGGTCACGTGATAATGACGTGAATTTTTGGTACAAATAACGTCAATTATGACATAAAAGTAACGTTATTCTGATGTATATATCACGTCATCACGTGATTATGTCACATCTTATTGACGTTATTTTATTACGTCAGGGAGACGTAAATATGACTAAAAAGTACTATTAGTGTCACTACTAGTGCAATAATGCAGTAGTAAATCCGTATATACTTCGTGTAGAAATTTAAGTAGAATACTGGACAGTTTTCCCTAATTACTGTTAGATTGTTAAAGTAAGTATACTAATTAGCATCAACTTATAATAAAATCGTGAAAAAAAATTTTTTCTCTAAATTCGAGAATTAATTTTTTTCATGATATATCCCAAACGGTCCCTCATCCGAAGTTGTACCACGACCTTGCATGCTTAACCTTGACTATCATACGGGAACTGCTATACTTCGATGACCCACGAATCTGTATATGTCAATGTCTGTATAATTGTGATATATCTGTTCAATGGAAATATTAAAAACAAATGGTTTATATATGTGTTTATATAATAGTGTATGTATTAGTGTATGTGTCATTTCCGCAAGTGTAATGCGCATGACATATCATTTTATCCTTGTTTTTCATCGAATATTAAAGGATAAAATAATACATCAAATAATAATACACAAATAATAAAAAAAATAATTGATTAGTAATGGTCATATATATGACGTCAATGTAACATCTAGTTTGACGTCATTTCGGTGACGCCAACCTTTGGTATTACAAATGACGTTAAAATAACGTTCCATTTATGTCACTTGACGGCATTATCATCAAAATCACTTCATAACACGTCATTATCACGTAAGCTTGCTAGCTGGGATATTCTTGCACTATTAATGGACGATTGTATGTCTAAGCCCGATAATAATACATCACCATTAAAAGTTTTTTTATTTGAATATGGTATAATAATATATGGACGTCAAAAGTCATTTTAGAAACACTGACTGTTAAAACCTCTTTTGTCATTTTATTGTATATACAAATTGCACACGTTGTTATATTTTAGCGATGTTAAGAAAAAAATACTAAGGATATTACATAAATGGGCGTATAACATCCGTAGAATAGTCTCACAATGTTGAAAAATATAAATTATAACCGTAATAATTAATTTATAATAATTTATTTTAACATTTAATTACGTTTATGTGTCAATTATTTAAATTTAATTAATACTTTCACTTACGTCTACGCCTAATTTAACGTAGTACACACTTACGCGAATTAAAGGCAATATGACATGCCCTGAAATTAGAGCTACACGTTGTACTAAATAACGTTCATTCACTTTTGCAGTCACAGTGACATTTCATTTCAGTATTAAGACGTGAGCAACTAGGTGCTTTACTTTTATGTTCGTCATGTATACAAAGTTCACGAAAATATCGTGATTTTCTTTGTATGTCTCGAGCTAACTTTGATATTTTAATTAGAAACGGTATTGCAATGATGAATTGTGAAACTGTGATTATGAAAAATTGCCTTGCGATTTTTAAACTTTTGACTAAGAATAAATTAAGTCGTTGGATGTATTTAATTTTCATAAACATTTGTTAGTTCACTTTATAATCGTTGGATATCAATGTGTTACGTTAGGCTGACAATGAGTATATCCGTGTTCGTTTCTTCCGAGTGCGCTTCCGGTATTGACATGTGCACACAACAGTTTTCCATCAATGGCGAAAATTGAATGCGAGGATACCGTAGCTGAATCTTGGAAGGGGTTAAATAATGAATGATATTATCGCGACTGTACGATCTTAAATATAGTTGCGATTCCCGCTCGTATACCACTGTAAGTATTATTTGTGCTTTTCTTTGATATCTGATAGATACTTCCCAAGAAAGTAACATGACATATTACCTGACTACATCAATTAGTTAATGTTAATAAATCAAACGTAATAGGTAGATCAAAATCATTACTCTATCTTTGAAATCATGTGTTTATAAATGTGGTATTACAAACAGTTTCCATGCATCGTGTAACTGTACATGTGAATAGTACTTCAGAAAACAGAATTGTATAAGTAAAAGAAATGTAACTTATTGACGTATGGTTTTTCAAATTATGTAGCTGGAATAAACAATTTTTATGTAACCTTGTAACATGAATTTTTTTTAAAGGTTGTCTTTAATCGTACATGAAAGATACGTGAAACGAATGTTTTGAGCGATTGAGCGTGAAGACGAAGCGTCCAATAAATGTATTTAATCGTATCAAATTTTTGAATATTGAAATAGAAGAATATATAATACTAGGAATGGAATAAGACGATTCTTAATAAAGTGTGAATATGTATGTATTGATATTTTAGGATTTATATTTAATTAATAACAGTTTGGAATATGTTTGGGAATGTACTATTTTTTGCATTTCGACTTTTTTTATAATGTATGTATTACGAAAATAAAATTTGAAGATAATGTGCAATAATATTTTATATTTGTGGTAATTTGGTAACTTTTAATACCTATTAGAAGATATTATACGTATGTAACGAGTAAAGTAATACAATTTTCTGGTTTAACATTATATTTGACGTGTAATAGATAACTGCATTATTTTTTTTAATTTGATTGAAATTTTAACATGTACATGTATTAATTCTTTAATAAAAATAATAATTTAAGCGTTACCTTTATAGCTTGTCGCATTAATCTTTCGACATAATGTAATGTTTTGCTTTAGTAATATTTACCATAATAATTTTACACATATTATAATTGCAACTCGTTATATAATAACGCATATCATTAACTTGATACAAATGCTTCTCTCGAAAAATTGCAAAGACGATGTAAGCAAAATTATTTAATATTGACTACGTTCAGTCGAATAATTAGAATTGCAACTGTTGTAACAGGCTATGTATGACTAGCACATGTCCTCATAATTCTTTGGATTAGAATTTGATCAAATGATGTTAAAGGATACTTCAGTTGCAAAGCTGTTCTTTCTGCAGAATGTAAAAGCTGCATTATGACCGATTTTAAAAAATCTTGGTAACAATAGTGCGATATTGATCTTTCTTTTTCGACCCGATACGGATGTAAGTAATAAACTGAGTTCAGCAGACTCATTCGTCGAGAGAGCGCTAAATGCTATTGTTGTGTATATTTAATTCTAAAAATCTGATAGTATCATGTAAAAGTACACTAATATTGTCAACCTCGCACGTAACTATTAATGAAAACAGCCATTGCTAATCGACTGACAAGCAGACGGTATAGCTATATATGTCCATAGCGCATAATTGATAAGCACCGAAACTATTTCGTTTAGTTAAATACGTACTAAACGGCGGATATTTTATCGGTTACCATACTTATATTGTCTAGTACTTTTTTCTATGTAATTTTATCAAGCAACAGATATTACTATCATACCCACAAATTCAAATAAAAATCAGTCTC